TTTCAAATTTGGTTGTTTGTTTTGGAGACTTATTAATTTTTAAATTTTAAATTAAAATTTTGGTTTTCAAATATAATTTAAAATTTTAATTTTTTTAAGAATCAAGATTGATATGTATTAATCTCATAAATAAATAAATTATATTACTATTATAATTTTTTGAAACAAATAATGTTATTGCACTAATTATGCTTTCAAATTTGGTTGTTTGTTTTGGAGACTTATTAAATGAGTTATTACCAGTTTTTATTTTGGTTTTGGTATATAGTTGATTTCTAGTTCTAGTTGTTATGGTTGCTAAATTTTTTTGCATGAAATTAAAACAAAAAATAAGAAATGAAAGTGTTATTAAACGTCTTTAATTTATGGTAACACATTTTTTTCCTCCATATATTTTATTTTACTAGGTGAAATTCGTAGAAGTAAAATATATTAAACTCTAAAATCTTTTATATGAAAAAATGTATCATGTATACCGGATCTTGAAAAATTGTATGATCAAAATAACAAGAAAGCAGGCAAACCTAGCTTCTTACCTTAGTCCTTGCGCAGGGTATTTCGGTGCAAAAATAACTGTCATCAAACCAAGAGGAGAAAAATAAATACGTTAGAAAATTAAATTATGAGAAATTAATTAAAGACATCTGATCTACGAAACAAAAGTATATATACCATAACAAATTGTTAAAAAAATTTCTTAATTTGTCTTTATGCATCAAACAAATGAATGAGTGAAAATAGTAGAAATTAACTGCTTGTATATATATATGTACCTGGAAAATTAAAATCTTAAAGCTTGCAGAGAAGAAACAAAGTTATGGAAGAAAAGAGAGTTTATAAAAATGGCGACGAAGCAATTTTAATAATGAAGAATGGCTTCATCACCAGAACTCCTTATGACCCTTGTGAGCCTTCGTAGAAACACCCAAACGCATTTTTACCCCTTCCTAGAAAATTTTTAGAAAAAAGCTGGACAATTGGTAAATTGTCCGGAATATACTTGGAAAAGCAGGGAAAAGGTGTTCGTCGATGAGGAAAAGCAAGTCAAATGGTAACGGGTTGATTGCCCCACATGCACATGAGAAGGTATAATGCGAAGGAAAATCCCTAAACTTTGTAAGGTTTGTCTAATTTATATTTTAAAATATAAGTTAAGATTACATTAATTATATTTTTTTTTGTTATTATTAAAAAAATAAAAATTAA